TTTTTTTAAACTGAGTTTGTGGCTCATTTTACCTGTATATTGGAAAAGTAACCAATCAAAGTCAGCTTTATTGTCAAAAACCATATGTACAGATCATACACGGGAATTTGAAATTCCTCAGCCCTCAGTGTTACAATAAAACGGCCTAAAGATAATCCATGTGTTTGAAGTTTGATTCTTACAATAACTTCATCCTGTTATTAAAAACAAAAAAAAAAATTGTGTGATGGTAATTTTAAGATGATGTCACTTCCATTCCTTTACTTGGAGAGTGTCCCCAAAAGATAAAACAGCGCTGGTCAGTGTTGAACAGTACCCTGCGCCTATCAGCGGTCGGTGATGGATTACTTTGGCTATGATCAGATCACTAACGCCGAACAAGTAAAAGAAAACAGGCTAAAATAATAAGTATACTAAAGTTTTCTTTCCAAGAATAAGTAAAATTTAAAAAACTAAATTGTTTGCATTCAGTAGACAACATCATGTAGAGATGTAGTGATGTGTAAGAAGGAAAGAGGGAGGTAAGTCTCATGTTCCTACAGAGCAACAATCAGATGCTGGACTTTGGCGCAAGAGGCCGCTGTTCATATTCTGCTTTCTTCATAAAAATCAGTGAAAAGAGTCTTTCAGTAAAGTTACAGTCATGAATACAGTCATATTTTATTTTACTAGGAATAATGAACTTACCCTACGCCATAGTAAATTATATTTGATTTATTATTTATTTCCTGATAGAGCTGCACGATTTTCAACAGATTATTTAAACAAAATAATCCTAAGAGGAAGGAGGTGAAGCACAAAATTAACAGATGTCAAGACTATCAGGAGAAAACACACCTCAGAGCACAATATTGTGAAGTGAACCGAGAAGTGAATGAGAGTGCCAGACGGGACAAAAGACAATTTGTGCACAGTATGACAGAAGAGGCAGAAACAGCAGCCAAGCAGAACAACATGAAGGGAGTGTATGAGATCACCTGGACCTTGTCAGGAAAGAGTTTCAACCCAAGTAAGCCAGTCAAGGACAAGAGTGAGAAAACCATCACAAGGAACAAGAAACAAAGAAGAAGATGGGTGGAACATTTTGAAGAGATCCTGAATCGACCAACACCGCAAACAGTCCCTGACATACCACCAGCAAAAGAGCCCCTCTGTATCAACACCTGTCCACCAACCAAGGCAGAGATCACCAAAGCCATCAAGTCCTTGAAAAATGGAAAGGCATCCCCAACAAGGTGTTGACCAGAATCATCTTGGAGAGACTGAAGGAGGCATTGGACAAGAGACTCAGATCAGAGCAGACAGGATTTAGACAAGACAGATCATGTACAGACCACATAGCCACTCTGCGCATCATCATCAAGCAGTCTATTGAATGGCAGTCTCCCTTGTACACAATCATCATCAACTTTGACAAAGCCTTCAACAGGGAGACCATTTGAAAACTGATGCAGCACTATGGAATCCCACAAAAGCTCAAAAAGATCAT